TCATGAAGCCTGTAGAACCACCTCCTCCCTACAGCCTCATGCCTGAGGACCCGGTTGGTCCAATGTGCGACACGGCAACACAGCAGTTTGAGCTACCTCACCCACAAAGGTTTTGGATCAAGCCCAGGTCTTCTACAAAACTTTGGAATGAATGACTCCACCTATGCTACCATGACATGTCTCATCCATTGATTTAATTCATTGTTTTTCTCCTGGTCCATCTCCAACTGTTGAGCAGAGTTTATGGTCTTTGTCCAAAATCCCAAGCTAAAAGTTTTGAGGGAGCCTGCAGTGGGAAGAGGAGATTGTTCTGGTGGAATGCAGACCTTGACTGGACAGCTCTCTCTGCCATCCTAAAGAGGCCATTCTATGCCTGGTGGAGACAGGAGATTGAACTGCAGCGAATCTAAGCCATCTTCCAGAAGAGATTCCACTGTACCTGCACAGGCAAGCACAAAACAAAACTCAAGTTTCACTGACTGGTCTCTGCCTCTGGCTGGGAAGTAGTGATGGAAACCAGTTCAGAGGCTAAGCTCTTGCCAACTGCAATGGTGACTGAGTGCATGGACCCCTGCCTAGGAGCATGTGGTACAGCTTGGAGCTCTGCTTGCCCTCCGGAGAGGGATTGAAGACACACTGTAGATCCTGGTGAATGTGCTTTGGGGCGTGTAAGGGGGCTAGCTACCTCCACTTCAATCTTGTTTTTGCTATGTTTGCTGCAGTGGACTCAAGTCAGCCTTCCTTTTCAGCCACTAGAGAAGTCCCACAGCTGGGTTTTGTTTTACAGCAGGAGATCACCTGCCTGTCACGGAAGATAGTATAAGGCTTTGAATTTCTCTGCAGCAACAGTGGAGAGGCCTGCAGAGAGTGGCTTTAAACATACTCAGTGCCTGTAAAAATTTTTTTCTTATTTTTCATGTTCTTTGTTGTTTTGCCTCCATGTGTATCTGTTAGGGCGTTGGACCCTCTGGAACTGAAGTTACAAATGGTTGTGAGCTGAGATGTGCTTGATAGGAATGAAGTCCATGTCCTCCGGAAAAGCAGCCGGTACCCTTCACAGCTGAGCCATCTTTCCAGTCCCTGCAAGGACTTGTTTGGCATTTCAGTCAGTACTGTTAGTGGAGGGGAAGAGATGTCACCCTTTCAGAGGTGATCTTGCACTATCCATTCATGCCACGGATATTTATAAAGCCAGGATTCTATCTGGTCTGGTATACAGGATCAGATCAGCTGCAATTCTACCGATAAATGTGCAGACATGACTGAGCACTAAATCTCAGGGGGGTGTGCATCTCCTGGTGCACTGGGCTCGATGCGGTTTGGCTATGGTTCCCATCCATTGCCCTATGGAGCTTGTTCTGAAAGACATGAGAACCCACACTGAACACCACCTATTACCTAAGCATGACGAAAGATCTGCTGTACCAACCTACATTGTGTCTGTCTTTTAGTGTTGGGAGGAAAGGGGCATTCAGAGCAGCTTTGGTTTGTAAAATAAACTTCACCTTTACATTTTAAAATGTGTATGTGTGTTTCTCTACATATCAATAATATCTAGAACAGACAGGTGCTGTGGTACAGTCCTATCCTCTGGACTATTCAAGAATCTGAGGCAGGAGGATTAAAGTCAGTCTGAGTGACTTAGTTGCGATCTAATTCAAATTGAAAAGGGGGAAGAGTGGCTGGAGATGCAGCTAAGTGGTAGAGAACTTGCCCAGACCCTGAGTTAGGGCCCCAGGTTCTGCCCTAATGATTCTAAAAAATAATATGAGCTCCTGGAATCAGCGGGTTGATGGTTAGGTATAGGTTTTTCTCCCTGCTAGACAGTTTCTCTGTGAATCCCTGACTGGCCTGGACCTCCATCTGTAGACCAGGCTAGCCTGTAAATCACAAAGATTCCAGGGTCTGCCGCCCATGGGATGGAATTCAAGGTGTACTGCACCACTGCCTTATTAAGATTTTATTTTTAATCATCCCCCAAGCCCAGACTGGGTTTGTCTGTTCCTTTGGAGGCCGTCCTCTCAGTAACTCTTGTAGACCAAGCTTGGTTCTAACTCAGAGATACACAAGTCTAAGCATCCCTGAGTGCTGGGATTAAAGGCATGTGCCACCACTACCCTGCTTTCATTTTTAATTTATATTAGTGTGTTGCATGCTGTGTAACTGTACCAGTTATGTACCATTTGCATGCACTACCCTAGTATTCCAGGGTTATCATCTACTGGAACTCAGGTTCCATTCAGTGTCACAGTGTGAGAAGTAGAATCTGATCCTGCCTGGGTCCTATGGAACAGCTGTCAGTGCTGCAGATGCTGAACACTCTCTCCAGCCCAAACTTTATATTTTGTGACCTTTAGCATTGCTTGAGATTTTTACAATGTAAATGCCTTGCTTTTGTATATTTGAGGGATGTGTTTACAGGAATATTTTCATAGGCAGATGTAGAAATTTCTGAAGGGCTGAGGATATAGCTTAGTGGCAGTGTGTTTGTCTATCCCATACAAAGCCCTGTGTTCAATAATTAGGGCTGGAATAAAAAAATACTAGGTGAAATTTGACTAAAGACAACTGGTATAATTTTTAGCCCTGTTACAATGACAGTTTCCAGCAGACTGACAGGTGGCAAACATGACACATACATGACTCTAAGGGATAAGGAAACACTGTTTGCTTGGAAAGGCCTGGATATCTGGGAACACAGGAGATATTTTTGAAGCTCTTGTCATCAGCCTCTGGGACTCATGATGGACTCTGGGTTTAGATTGGGTGAGAAACATCCAGATAGGGCGTGGCTAGCTAAGGGCTGGATGAGCAGTTTTCCAATGAGTGACAAGTCTTTCCTTAAGGAGATTTAGCAGCTCAAACTCATGAATAAATGATGAAAGATAAGGGGTGAATGAAGGAGGAAGTGAAAGTGTAGGGAATTAATGAGATCTGCCTTCACGTTTTTGTACGGACACATAAATCTTGGTTAGAACCTGGAGGCTCTTTGGACATCCTTAATATGAATTTCCTGAACATGCTGGGGGGACTACATTGAGGAGCTAAGTTATCATGGTCCTGGGGAAAAGAGCTGCAGGTGCTGCACAAGGGAAGGGGAGGTGACAGCAACATCTCCTGTCGTTACCTCACCACAGAGCTGAGATTCAGGGCTATAGTTTCTGCATGGAACACCACCAGTTTTCCCATTTACACAAGAAAGAGATGAACCCCTCTCTATGTTTCTGATAAGATATACTTTCATTCCTCATTCATTCTTTCCTTCCTTCCTTCCTTCCTTCCTTCCTTCCAACCTTACTTCCTTCTTTCTTTCCTTCCTTCCTTCGTTCTTTCTTTCCTACCTTCCTTTCTTCTTTCATTCTTCCTACCTTTCTTCCTTCCTCCTTACTCCCTTTCTTCCTTGTCCCTCCCCTACTCTGTTTGGTTTTGATCATATAAGGCTTTGATATTCTTTGCAGCAACAGTGGTGTGGCCTGAGGAGAGTGGCTATTCCCAAACTCAGTGCCTGCAAAAAAGTTTTTCTTATTTTTAGTCTTCATTGGTGTTTTGCCTCCATGTGTATCTGTTAGGGCGTTGGGTCCTCAGGAACTAAAGTTACAAGTGGTTGTGAGCTGAGATGCGGGTGACAGGAATCAAGCCCATGTCGTATGGAAGAGCTGCCAGTTCTCCTCACAGCTGAACCATCTCTCCAGTCCCTGAAAGGACTTCTTTTGCCACTTTAGTGAGTACTGTTGGTGGGAGTGGAAAAGATGTCACCCTTTCAGAGGTCATCTTGCACTATCCATTCATGCCAGCGATAATTATAAAGCCAGGATTCTATCTGGTCTGGTATTCAGGATAAGATCAGCTGCAATTCTACAGATAAGTGTGCAGAGATGACTGTACACTAAATCTCAGGGGGGGTTGCATCTCCTGGTGCACTGGGCAGGATGGGGTTCGGGCATTGTTCCCATTTATTGCACTATGGAAGCTTGTTCTGAAAGACATGAGAACCCACACTGAACAACACCCATTACCAAAGCATGAAAAAGGATCTGCTGTACCGAACTACATTGTGTCTGTGTTTAAG